TGCAATTAAATACATAGATTAATGCTAGAACCTCATGCCTGTTTACCTCAGAGCAAAGTCTAAACATCTGGCTAATCGTGCAGCGAATTATAATAATATAAATGTATATGCGCCTGATTCCTGGTTAGTTTACAAATTAATAAAAAATATTTAAAACAAGGAGACAAATAATAATAATAATAAAGAAGGTAGAGAAAACATACCTGGATGGGAACAAGAAGAAGGAAGGAAAGAGACATCAGTCATCTTCACCAAAGGCCTGGGTGAAGATCTAAGTTTTCAGGGCCTTTCAAAACATCAGAAGGTCGGGACATTTGAATTTTGGGGCAAATCTTGTTCCAGAGGGCAGGCACTGCTACAGAGAAGACATATTTCTGGGGTCTCAATAAAAGACATTGTTTAATTGAAGGAACCTGGAATGTGCAACTTGGTTGAAACTCAGAAGGCGAAGTCAAGGAACATATAAGGAGGCAAGAAAAGACTTTTGCACATTTCTGCCTAAATGTATACAGTAGATGGAGTGCCAGGTAGACATCTTGCCTGCTGTTGCCTCACATTACAGGACTTACTGTGTTATTCTTGATAGCGTGAAGACAGCTGTTCTTGGGTCTGTTTGAATGCAAGAAGCAGACTTCTATACTGTGGTTTCAGACCAGAGGTGGGTTTCAACAGGTTCTGACCAGTTCTGGAGAACCGGTAGCGGATATCTTGAGTAGTTCGGAGAACTGGTAAATACCACCTCTGACTGGCTCCGTCCCCATCTATTCTCTGCCTCCCGAGTCCCAGTCAACTTTGAGCCTGGTGAGATTCGATCTGCCAAACTGCTGGCAGCTGGTGATCAGCAAAAGTAGCCTGCAGTACTGCACTCTAACCACTGTGCCACCACGGCTCTTATTATAGCTTCCACTCAGTGATGGGTTGCCCCCGGTTCGCACTGGTTCTATAGAACTGGTAGTAAAATTGGCGGGAGGCTCCGCCCACCGACCCTGACATCATCAAAACGCTTCTGCGCTTGTGCGCGGCCCCGCTGCAAACTGGTAGTAAAGGTAAGTAGAACCCACCCCTGGTGGGAATGGAGATTTTACAGTATTCTTCCCCTGCTACACCCACCAAGCCACGCCCACCAAGCCATGCCACACCCACAGAACCGGTAGTAAACATTTTTGAAACCCACCACTGTTTCAGACCCCCTTTGCCTGAGGTAACAAATGTGAGTGGGCAATTATTATTCACATCGACCTTAATAAAGGCAGAGATCCATTCAGACCTTGTCATTTAGTACCAGTACGTCAGAAACTGATCAGAAAAGGAACACCCACAAGGGGGACATCAGGAGTGGGTCAATAACATGATTACACACATTAGTAGCTTCATGTATCCAAGGGAGAACTGGATCTTGTTTAGAATTCCAGACTAAATAGGAAGACTTTTCGGCCTAGAGCCAGGACTGGTGAACTTTAAATATGTACTTTTGATAGGTTCTCCACATATTAACTTGTTAGATTCCTAGTAGTTCTTGACAAGATTATACTATACTGTATGATTTATATTCACTGTAAAATACTATGATGGGAGATAATTATTTGGGGATCATACTGCTGACTTCACCAATACATTGTTCTTAAGTTTCAGTGGTGTATATACTACAGAAGATTTTCTTGGGCTTATTTGATATTTCTTTCTTTTTAAAATAACACGCTGCTTAAAAATTCTCCTAGTTATTGGAAGGGGAAAAGGAATTGGAGAGAGGAAGTATCAGTACTTGAGGCAAATCTTTGGCAAGCTCCCAGTCAGAAACGGATTTTCATTCTGCAGCGGATTGGAAAAAGATAATTCTGACTGGAATTGCCCAGGAGTTGAACTTTTCAGCATTATGCAAACAGACTGTAGCTGCAAATGACTTCACTGAAATTGCAAATGATATTGAGAACCAGTTGCCCATAAAGTACAAGATAGTGGAATCACCATCTGAGGCAGGGGTGGGTTCTAAATTTTTTTACTACCGGTTCTGTGGGCGTGGCTTATTTTGTGGGCGTGGCTTGATGGTCATGTGACAATTCTTTAGGATTTAGCAGAGGTACTGGTCTACCAGGCTTTTAACTGCTTGCAGAGCTGTACCGGTCTACCCATTTATTTTTGCAGGCACTGGTCTACTCATGTATTTTTTCAGGCATTGGTCTACCCATTTATTTTTGCAGGCACCGGTCTACTCATTTGTTTTTTGGAGGGACCGGTCTACCACCAAACTGCCTTTTACCACTGATCAGCTGTAGGGCGGCCCTTTGAAGCCCCGCGGCAAGAGTTTAAACAGTTTTTCCTTATAGCCCATCAGCTGGGACTCAGGAGGCAGCAATAGATTGGGGATGGGGACAAATAAAAGGTAAGAATAATGCGGGGGTGGGGGTGGGGGGTCGGGGGGGCAGAACTGGTTCGGTGATGTCATATCGTCACTGCTATCGGCTCGGTGGAACCGGGCGGAACCGGGAGGAACCCACCACTGATCTGAGGTTTATTTAAGACTACATGTTTCAAAACCTTAAAGGTTTACATTTTGATGAATTGTTCCCCTATTTACAGATGAATAAACTAAGGATGCTTGATGGACAAATCTTTCCATAGTTTTTATCTGAACTAAATGTTTTTGCTCTGTTCACTATGCAGGTAGTCCTTGACTTACAAAAGTTCATTTAGTGACTGTTCGAAGTTACAACGGCACTGAAAAAGTGACTTGTGACTCTTTTTCACACTTACGACCGCTGTGGCATCCCCATGGTCACGGATCGAAATCCAGACGCTTGGCAACTGGCTCATATTTATGATGGTTGCAGTGCCCTAGGGTCATGTGATCCCCTTTTGCGACTTTCTGACAAAGTCAATGGGAATGCCAGATTCATTTAACAACCATGTTACTCATTTAACAATTGCAGTGATTCACTTAATAAATGTGGCAAAAAAAGTTGCAATATGGGACAAATCTCACTTAATAAATTTTTTATTTAGCAACATAAATTCTGGGCTCAATTGTGGTCATAAGTCGAGGACTACTGTACTTAGACTGCTATTATTCTTTCTTAGCTTTCTGTCCATCCCAGGACATTTCTAAATTTAATTTATTAGACTGAAGTTCAAGAGTTAAATTCAGGTAGAGTCATCAACTGAATTATCTACATACACTTGTTTCTTTTTCCAAAATGTTTTTCCTTGTCAAGAAAGGGGCTGATAAATGCTGGTTTGCCAGTTTCTTGCAGATTTCATTAGTCTGAAGTCCTAGAAGATTAAAAAAAAAAGTGCAAATATCAGTGTTCTCCTTATGGTCTGATCTTTTTTTCCAGGAAATTTTGTAAGTATGAGGAAGTTCTCCATAGCTATGATGAGTCAAATTACAACATACAAAAGTGTCTGGACATAAAACCTGGCATGAAAAAGTAAACTAAGCAAAAGTAAGACGAAAATGTTGCAGAAGGGAAATTCAATTCCCACTGCCAGCTGCTTAAGTTGGCTGCTTATGATTAGCATTTTATTCAAACTGAGATGAATAACCTGAAATACAACAATGGTATATGCAGTTCCCCAAGCCTCGTGTGCAGTCCTTGGATGACCTGCAAAACTATTCACAAAAATTGTAATTTAGTGAATTCTTCTGAACAGAAAAGAATGATGTAAACTATATTTTATTAATTTAGTTTACAGTAAAAGCTTAGAGTACATGAAATGAAAGTCTTAGCTCTACCTGCATACCACTCATAGCTTTTAACCTGTAAAAAGTTTGTTCCTTTTTTAAGATACAGAATAGTTTTGCAAAGGACTTATATACTCAGTTCAATATCTAAACTTTCGGGTGGATTGAAAAATCAGAGTTTCCTACTTTTGACACTTTTCAAGGTGAGTTTATAGTTTCGCTTGATATAACTTTTACTGAACTTATCAAACATAAGTCCCCTTCATTTGAATCTAGAGAATATTGACAGGCAGGGGTGGGCTTCAAAAATTTTAGCAAGGCGTTCTCTGCATGGTTGCTGGGTGGGCGTGGTCATGGTGAGTGTGGCCTAGTCGGCCTCCTGCACCACGGTGGGGTAAGGGGATATTTGGCCTCCCCAGGCTCTGGAGGCTTTCCTTGAGCCTCCGGGAGGGCGAAAACAGTCTCCCCAGGCTCTGGAGGCCCTCTGGACCGCCTTCCCGAACTTCCAGTAGGCCCATTTTTGCTCCCCGAGCCTCCACGCATGCCTTGCCTGCGTCCAAAACGGGCCATGTGGGGACTCCTAGGAGGAGCGAGGTGGGCGGGGCCAGCCAGGAGTAGGATTTGTGGGTTCTCTGAACTGCACAGAATCTTAGCTAGAATCTGCCATGGTAGAGCAGTACCTGAGGTGCTACGTGAACTATCAGCAGTCCAATTGGGCGGACCTCCTGTCTTTCGCTGAACCCGTGAACCCCCAGCAGCCCACCCCTGTTGACAGGGTTTCATTCTCTAAAGATCCATGGAATTTCCTTTGAATAACTTACTAGAAACAAGCAGGACCTACAAGGGAAACTTTCAGACTACTGACAGTTAGAATCGCGGCACACACAAGAGAGTTTCTCCAGTGCAGTCCTGCTGTGTGTCTTTTATCTATACCAGCCAAAACGAAACAAAATTATGAGGGGGAAGAGGAACTACAATCTGCTGGTGGATGTGAAGACCTTAATGGAAGCCAACGTCAGTGGAATGTAAGAAAATTATATTCTAACTGTTATGCTGAACTGCTTCTATAACTTTGCTTACACAGAAAACAAATCAGTTACTTCTCAAGGCAAGCTTCAAGGCATAATTGTATACTGCTTACTGTGCAAAACAAGGGTCTGTAGCAGCTGAGTTAGCAGCAGGAATTATTTTAGTGCCTCATTCAATTTGGCTGTGTTTTATGGAACAAAAAGAGGGCTAAAACCACAGCTGGGAGGAGCATATAGTGGCTGATCTTTGATCCTAGAAATTGCACGTGCCTCAAGTTATCTGGCAGCATATAGTTGCTGAACGACAACCTGTGTTCTTCTCAAGGAAGCAACAAGTGTTAATTCTGAGGGACTGCTGGAGTAACCAGAGCCAGGGCAAGGTGAGTAAGGAATAAGTGTTGTTCTCTCCTGCCCATTACGATGGGAAATAGAAGCAGAAAGTATTATGAAAGTGATGGAAAGACTAGACAACACAGATGTTTGTGAATGAATGGAGAGAGCTGAATGTAATTACTGTGTGGCAGAACAGAGAAAGCATTCTTACCGTCTTCCCATTGTAAATAATATTTGGCCCTGGAAAGTTCCTGTTTGCTATTCTTTTTCCTAGGAGATGGCTGAATGATTAGAGTCGATTGTGCGTGGATTTCCAAACCTACTTTAGCTGTTCATTAGAATAGAGTAGAGTAGAGTAGAGTAGAGTAGAGTAGAGTAGAGTAGAGTAGAATTTGGGCCTGGTGGCTCAGCAGACTAAAACCATTGTGATTAACACCAGCTGTCTGCAATTACTGCAAGTTCAAATCTCACCAGGCTCAAGGTTGACTCAGCCTTCCATCCTCTCTAAGGTAGGTAAAATGAGGACCCAGTTTGTGGGGGCAATAAGCTGACTTTGTATAAATATACAAAAGTATGAAGGCTATTGCTTAGTGCATTGTAAGCCGCCCTGAGTCTCCGGAGAAGGGCGGCATATAAATCAAATTAAAAAAAAAATAGAATAGAATAGAATAGAATAGAATAGAATAGAATAGAATAGAATAGAATAGAATAGAATAGAATTCTTTATTGGCCAAGTGTGATTCGACACATAAGGAATTTGTCAGTGTACATAAAAAGAGAAGATACATTCTTCAAGAATCATAAGGTACAACACGTAATGATAGTCATAGGGTACAAATAAGCAATCAAATCATACTAGGAAACAATATCAATATAAATCATAAGGATACAAGCAACAAAGTTACAGTCATGCAGTCGTAAGTGGGAGGAGATGGGTGATAGGAACAATGAGAAGATTAATAGTAGTAGTAATGCAGACAGTGAATAGTTTGATAGTATTGAGGGAATTATTTGTTTAGCAGAGTGATAACATTTGGGAAAAAACTGTTCTTGTGTACTTGTTCTGGTGTGCAGTGCTCTATAGCGTTGTTTTGAGGGTAGGAATTGAAACAGTTTATGTCTAGGATGCGAGGGGTCTGTAAATATTTTCACAGCCCTCTTTTTGACTCGTGCAGTATACAGGTCCTCAATGGAAGGCAGGTTGGTAGTAATTGTTTTTTCTGCAGTTCCAATTATCCTCTGAAGTCTGTGTCTGTCTTGTTGGGTTGCAGAACCAAACCAGATAATTATAAATGTAAGATGTTGTACCATTATCTCCCCCAACCCACAGACACTCAGTGGTCACTAAACATCTTTTTCTTGGGCAAAATCAGAAGAGGTGCACAGATGTCTAAACTGATTAGGATCATGAGTTGAAGATGAAGTGAAGTGAGCAGTGGCTCTTGAAAGCTTATGCATTTCTATAATAAAATATGTTACTCTGGAAAGGTGCTTCCAGACTCCTCCTGATTTTTGAATACTGTTGGTTAACATCTATAATTTGTTATTTATTTAACATATGATGAGAACATGACAAAGTAAGCATATACACAGGCTATGTAATTATAAATAAAACTTCTGTGGGGGTATTTCTACGGAGGCATTTCTACAATACTTGGAGGCCAGAAACTGTACTAGGAAAAAAAGTCAGCCTTAATTAGATTGTCTTGAGAAGCAGCATTTTTAATTGTCTGTAATGTTTATTGGGTTGAAACAGAGCCTTTTGGGTAAAAGATCAAAAGACTCTAGGAGAGTTTTAGAATGCTGACATTCGATGTGTAGATTGTGCCCGTGTGTAGTTATTGCCAGGATCTCTCATGTGGATAAATAAAACATTATAGATATGTTGGGCAATTTTAAAGATCTGCTTTGGCATACCTGGAAGTTAAAAATAACTCCGTAAACTCACGCTCTAATAATATATATCATTTACTCAGGAAGTTGATAAAGGCAACTGCCCGATGATCCCACTGTTTTCCTGGCAGATTCTTTCATATTTCGTTTTCAGATATTGACATTTCAAAGCCAGAGCCAAACTCCAGCAAACTATTGTTTACCATCTGCAAAACCCAAGCTGTGCCCCATCCCCTCTGCAGCCCATGACTGCATTTCACTTTTTTTTTTCAAATAAGGTTAATGCTTAGCTACATATTGCTTTAGTTAGCAGTAACAACCATAATTAAAATGTCTCTAATTCCTTTTCCTTAAAAAAGACAAAGCGACCCGAAGAGATTTTTGCACTGGGTGCTGCTCTGGTTTTGTTTTCCCTTGAGTGACAAACTCAAATGCCTTTCTCATCTTTGAACAGACTAGAAAAGAATCTGGTAGTGATAGAACAAATGAAATCTTCATCCTAAGGATTATTGTGTTTACTTGTGTTTTCAATTCTTCTGTTGCATTTTCTAAACCGCAGCAATCCCAAGTGACTCCTGGCAGTTCATATCAATAAAATCAGACAGGTAAAACAGATAAAGGATGAAAACAAAGATCAGTTATTAAAAAAGCAATACAATAAGAGCCTTGGTGGCGCAGCAGACTAAAGTGCTGTTAAATAGCACCAGCTGCCTGCAATTACTGCAAGTTCGAATCTCACCAGGCTCAAGATTGACTCAGCCTTCCATCCTTTCGAGGTAGGTAAAATGAGGACCCAGATTGTGGGGGCAATAAGCTGACTTTGTATATAAAAAAAGAACACCGCTTAGGGGGGCCCGAAAGCCCTACTAAGCAGGTATATACAAAAGTATGAAGGCTATTGCTTAACGCATTGTAAGCCGCCCTGAGTCTTTGGAGAAGGGCGACATATAAATCGAACCAATAAATAAATAAGAATAAGGGTGATCAACATCACCATTATTAATAAGGGACTGATGATGTAATGGCTACCAACCCTATTGGTAATATACAATATGTATTTCAAACAAGCAAGCAAAGACAAAAATGAAACAATGCTTTTATTTAAATCTGAATTTATGAAAAGCTGTAATCATTCCCTGACAAAAAAGGGTATTTTAGATCTGAAAAAAGTGCAAAAATCAATCATTAGAATTATCAGGGATTGAAGCATTTTTCTATGAGAAAAAAAGATGAAAATACTCTGGGCTTTCAAAATGCAAACTATAAAGTAATGTAGGCATAAGAAGCTGGGGAAGTTTTGTATAATCACGGATGATGAGACAGAAGATAGAAACATTTCTTCTTTGTAAATTTGAAATTAAGATTCTATACACTTCCCTCCCCCACCCTGAACAATTTTTTTATAATGACAACACTTTACATTGGCAAGCACGTTGAAAGCTTCTGGAGGATAAAGCAGCAAAGTGGAGATGCAGGAAACTCTCAGATCTATAGTATATGTTTATGTATTCATTAGAATACAGAGAAGAGAGAGTGGCTGGGAATTTAGAATCCAAGACCAATGATATTCCATTTTTATGGATGGGATCATGCTATCCTGGACAGAAATGTCATTAAATTCAGGGTGCCCTTGGACTCACACCTTCTGCTTGATGAGTAGGCTACTTCTTTGACTAGGTGGGAGTTTGCACAATTCCATCTTGTGCACTAGTCATAACTACTACTAAATCAGGAGTTACTGTTTGTAGTATCTCATGCTCATCTTAAACCTTTCCAGTGGACAATTATAATTTGTTCTGTGCAGGACTGCCCTAGAAGATCACCCAAAAGCTACACCTCATCCAGAATTCTGTGACTGAAGTAATTAAACCATTCAGGGTCGTCTTATTGGGAAGATGGGCAGCATATAAATTTAATAAAGTAAATAAAGGGTATTTGCTTATGTAGTACTGCAAGAGATATGATTTCCATTTGGCTTCCAACTGTTTGAAACCTGAGGCATCTGGGATCTTGTCCCATTGTTTTCTCGCCTTCTAACAAGCTAGGGAGCGTACCCTTCAAGCAACATCCTTGATGGTTTGCTGTCATTGGGGACCATGAGAGTGTGCCTTTTCTGTTACCGCCTCTCTCCTTTGAAACAGTAGGCCATCCAAGATTAGGCCAACATGTGAAAGTCTACAGAGATTCTCAGTCATCCAGGTCCTGGTTTTCCAGGAAAAACAAAGACCAGATGCCTTTTGAAAAAGCACCTTTGCAACAACCAGTAGTGTGAGCATTCAAGAAACCAACCAGGATTCTGGTCAACCAGGATTCAGAAGGCCTGCAGCAATAAGTAACTATTGCTGCTAAAATTATTTCCTTGAGACTGTCATGACTAAGAACCATTGTTATGGGGTGATTTTCTTTCCTCTCTCTCTCTCTCTCTTTTCTTTCTTTCTTTCTTTTTTCTTTCTCTTTTTTCTTTTAATTATTTCTTTTGCAGAAGAAATATATTTGTAAGATTCTCTTGAGAACTGACAGATTCTCTTGAGAACTGACAGGTCTCAGTAACAATTTAATAAACAATTAAAAATTATTAATAATCCACATAACCTTCAAAGATATACTGTACTGTGTGAGTTATCTGTCCATATATTTTGAATGTGTGAAAGAAGCTACAGTAAGTCCTTACTGTTTAAAAACAAGAAGGTAGTTTACTCAGGAGCTTTTAGACACAGTAGCTAATTGGAACTCTGAGAAGTTCTGTGTTTGAGGGATGGGTATCTCTACATACCAAATGATAAAAGAAAGAAGAGAAAAATATTGTTACTGATATGTTTGTTTCTGAGCTTCCTGGAGGCATCAACAATGGAAAAAGATGCTAGGCTAGGTTGATATTGTTAATATTGTTCTATTCTTCTGTTCAAGCTCTACTTATCTAAAACTCTTTCCTAGCAACCTAAAGCTTGGATGCACTTGATATATAAAGTAAGATTGATCCAATCATGCTCAAGTATGGCTTCTCTTAATCCAAAATGAAGTTTGGGGAGAGGAAAATTCTGTACAATAACTTCAGTATACATTCTCAAAATAAATTGTGCTACGACATAATTCATTTAGTTTTGGCTTACCACGATATCTTAATCCACTCAAAATTTGAATGGATTTGTGTAGATGGACCCAATATTTTTATGGTTTATTGGATTGTGGCCAAGAATTTTGATATTTGATTTTGAACCATGTTAAACCTACTGTAGTACTTGAATTACAGTTTTGAGTATTTCTTACCACATAATGAAGCTGCTTTTCAGGCATTGTGATCAGAGAAGACTGCCACAATAAGGGATTTGGGCATGGATATCAGCAGAAGAGAAGGGGGCAAGGAGAAGCAGTGATATGTTTGTCTTTGCACAAATTATGTAATTATAACCACTTTTTGTGCAACATTCTTTTGATGGACATAATGCTATTGTGGACCGATCTGATCAGATTCTAATGATCTCTTTAGACCTATAGCCAAATGTTGCTCACCCTTGATGTAGCATTAGATGTGAACCAGATTATTACGACTTTCACAGAAACAAATAAACAAAACCATGGATTATTGTGATACGTGAACCAAGCAAAGTTTATTTAGCTGGGTCATCTTTGGTTTAAAGAGAGAAAATCTGAGCTGCTTATAACTAGAAAAACATTCCCTTTCTAGTGAAAAACAGAAGAGCGTTGTTATCAAACAGAAGGTGATCTTAGTCCAGCTCAATAGGAAATAGAATTGCTCAATAATAGTCTTATTCTTTATATGCCAGATTTCATTTTCAGTTTCTGGGATGGTTAAGAAAGAGATACAGTATGTCTGAAGTTCAAATAGGTGTGCCAATCAATATAGAATAAATGGAATTATGGCCTGATTTGGGAATTAATTTTTTCTTTATTACTGGCAGTGCTGAATTTCAAATTAATAATAATACTGATCACTACCAGCACAACAACAGAGTTAATGGATTTATATTTACACTTGTAATAGAACTACATTTACAGGGAAGTAAGCAGTGGGGGTACCCCAAAGTTTTGTTTTAAGCCCAGTATTCTTCAACATCTTCATAAACAATTTAGATGAGGGAATAGAAGGGGAACTCATTAAACTGGCAGGAATAGCCAATACTCCAGAAGACAGGCTTAAGATCCAGATGGATCTCAACAGACTTGAATGCTGGGCCTTACGTAACAAAATGAAATTCAATGTAGAAGGGAAGATTTTGCACTTAAGCAAGAAAAAACCAAATGTACAAGTACAGATTGGGTGAAACCTGGCTCAATAGCAGTAACTATTGCTACTAAGAGCCTTAGTGGCGCAGCAGACTAAAGTGCTGTTAAATAGCACCAGCTGCCTGCAATTACTGCAAATTCGAATCTCACCAGGCTCAAGGTTGACTCAGCCTTCCATCCTTTCGAGGTAGGTAAAATGAGGACCCGGATTGTGGGGCCAAAAGCTGACTTTGTATAAAAAAGAACACCGCTTAGCGGGCCCCGAAAGCCCTACCAAGCAGGTATATACAGAAGTATGAAGGCTATTGCTTAACGCATTGTAAGCCGCCCTGAGTCTTCGGAGAAGGGCGGCATATAAATCGAACCAATAAAATAAATAAATAAACAAGAAATAAAATAACTGAGAGAGGGAACTTGGGAATCCTAGTGGACAATCACTTAAATATGAGCCAGCCGCGTACGGCAGCAGCCCAAAAAGCCAATGCAATCTTTGGTTGCATTAACAGAGGGATAGAATAAAAATAATAATAATAAATATATTAGAACAATGCAGTCCTGCATAACCTCCTGACAACATTGCCCTCCTGGTTGGGCAAACAATTCAGAGATCATGGCAGCTGTAGTCCAACGTGCCCTTTATGGGCAACCAGATAGATACAGATTAACAGAGTTGGAAGGGGCCTTGTAGGATTGGGGTTAAGATGGCTTTCTGACACTTTCTCTGCCCTTGGTCTTTTCCCTCTCCTGTTACAGGAAGAGCTGCGTGGGCTTGTCATCCTCGGGACTGAAGTGAAGGGATTTTGGGCTGAGCCAGCTTCTCCTACCTACACCCTTCCGGGATAGGATTTGGGGAACGTCCGGGGAAGGGCCCTTGTCCCTGCCCAAGAGGGAGGGAAGGAAACGGCCTCCACCTGCAGCGGTGCCGACGTCTGAGTGCCCGAGGAAGGCTCACTCCCGCCCCAAAGGCACGGCGCACTTCTTCGGCTGGTTGGTTTCACCGCTCCGTTCCTTCGCCTTCCCTTCGCGCTTGCCGGCGATGTCTCCCCTCGTGGCTCGGACGCTCCTGGCCGCCGTCTCGGCTCTGGTCCTTGGCGTCTTCATTTCGACCGGCGCCCAAGAAGCAGCATCAACAGCAGCAGCAGCGGCCACGGCGACGGCGTCCCCGTCGGTCGGAGGGCACTTCGCTCAGGATCTCTTCGCCGTCTTCGGAAGGAACCGGAGCCTCTCGAGCGAGCAGATGGGCCGGATGCTGCAGATGTTGGGCGCCCGGCAGAAACAGAGCGAGTTCTTGGCCCCGGGATCGCTGGAGCATCTGCGCTTCAACCAGGTAGGGAGACATTCCCGCCCTTTGCCCTGCATCCCTAGCGCTCGAAACTCCACCCAAGCCTTCTCGGTTTCTGCTTCCAAGTTTAGGGAAGAGGCCCGAAGTCTCGATTTGGTTTTCCTTAGGAATTTCTTCCCCCCCCCTTTTTTTTCCTTTTGAAGAATTTTAGTCAAAGGCTGAAAAGGTCAAAGGCTACAGATAAGGTGGAAAATAGACTTTTCATAGCTCTCTCCATTTTTATTTTTATTTATTTTATTTTATTTTTGGATTTATATGCCGCCCTACTCCCGAAGGACTCAGGGCGGTGAACAGCCAAAAAGATAAAAACACACAAACTACAAAATTTAAAAGATGATATAAAAACCCATTAAATAATTTGGCCCAAAACAAATTAAAACACCCCTAATATTTTAAAACAAATTTAAAATTTACAATTAAAAGGGAAGTTAGGCCAGGCCAGCCTGTTGAAATAAAAAGGTCTTGAGGGCACGGTGGAAGGTGCGTAATCCTCCGTATCTCGGGGGGGGGGGGGGGGGGGGGGGGGGGGGGAAGCTCATTCCAGATGGCAGGTGCCCCCACAGAGTTACAGTATTTACAGTATTTTTATTCTTTCTTCCCCTGACCTACTCCACTCTGTGATTGGGAGGATGAACTGGCAAAGTTTAAGAAATGGGATCCACTGATCACACCGGCTCGTTTTATTGCAGCTCTAACTTTAGTGGTCATGACAATGGCAGAATGTTCTACCATACAAGCAGAAGGACTTTTGATGGTGGAAATCTTAGTAGCAATCATAGCAAGTATGTGTTGTTGGGGAACGCTGGTTTGTGAGCAGTTAACATCCCATATTGTTAACAACAATAAGCATACTGGTCTTTGGGTGTTAAGTGAATTTTGTTGTATGGGTATACTGTGTATACACGTACAGTGACAATAAAGTTATTATTATATTGTTATACGTTTACAATATTATACGTTGTTATATATATAATATTGTTAGGGGCGCGGTGACTCAGTGGTTAAGACGCTGAGCTTGTCGATCGAAAGGTCGGCAGTTCAGCGGTTCAAAGCCGTATAATGTGTGGTGAGCTCCTGTTATTTGTCCCAGCTTCTGCCAACCTAGCAGTTCGAAAGCATGTAAAAAATGCAAGTAGAAAAATAGGGACCACCTTTGGTGGGAAGGTAACAGCGTTCTGTGCGCTTTTGGCGTTTAGTCATGCTGGCCACATGACCATGGAGACGTCTTCTGACAGCGCTGGCTCTTCAACTTTGAAACGGAGATGAGGACCGCCCCCTAGAGTCGGGAACGACTAGCACATATGTGCGAGGGGAACCTGTACCTTTTATATAATATTGTTAACCCATCTAAGTTAACAAAAACAAGCCATATAGCCAGTCTCGTTATATATCCTGGGTATTTTTTTGCCCAGGATGTCTTGGCTCCTAAGGAGGCTTACCTCATGGAACATTTAGTATTCTCAATTCAAATAAACTGCAAGCTCAATTATGGGTAGTGCGTTTACTTTCAGGCTGAGTTCTGTTATGTTTGGTGCATCTTAAATTGGCTGACTACTAAATTGGCTGACTTTATTCTGGGTTAAAGATACTTAACTGGCTTGGTTTGGAATTATGTCTGAACATAGTTGTGCCCTGTATTGGACTGCAACTATGAGAATTTTCTCAGCCAGTGGTGCAAATCACCGAAACTGGAGAATGTTAGATTTAGGAAAACCAATTTATATCTTCAGTATTAAATATTGTATACACAATAACTGAACATGCTTTAGTATAGGCAACTTCTAATGCTATCTGTTAGAATATAGTGTGCAGCTAATCTGTCCTTCTTTTCCTGGATTTTGTGAAAATATTGAGTCACTAAGTGGAAGAAAAAAGTAAAGCTTTTTAAATGAAGCAATTTTTCAGAATAAAAGTAAAGTTTAGAGCCAGTGCAAACAGCCACATGTATCCATGGAGAGAAATCTGGTTTTGGACAGTGGTGACATTCCCTTTCTTCAATAAATAAGATATGAAAAGATATCACACAAAAATTGTAGCTCATTAGGGAGTTAGCATTATTATGGTATGGAATACATATGAAGATAGAACTATGGTTTAGTGCCATAGGCCATGCTTTACACATACACAGAAGATCTAATATCTTAGAGTCTTACTCAAATGATCGACGAAGTGAGACTAAAACTAATAATGTTACCTAGTGTGAGTAATGAGACATTTCAAAGAAAACAACCAAACTCAGAGAGAGCACCAAGCCCTTCTCATTTCAACTCTGAGCTACAAATACTCTCCTTTATTGATTGGGAATGTATGTTGTAGAAAAGTTTCACACACTTAGAAAGTTTGAGTGTACCTACCAGATGAAATAAATCCAATTATGTGCTCATTATAATTACATCAGTTTAGGCTTTAGTTTGAATATTGTTATATAACTATAATTATATAATAATTATATATTATTATAAATAATAATTTCATCAGAATAGGCTTGAGTCTTACTGTTTTTTTCCTTTAAATAATATGGAAAGATTGACTGTCATCTCTTTGCAATTCTCTATGTTTGTGCTCCACACTGAATTGTGTGTTTCTCTACCTCTACATTTAGAATCTTCTCATTTTGGGGCCCTCTAGGCACAACACATACATATCACTCATATCTCCCTCACCAAATTTTGCTCTCCCTCGTTAATCTGCAATGTGGACGATGGGAGTTGTAGTCCCAAAATTCTGGAAGAAATTAAATGTATATATCTGGCCATTATTTACATATTAGGCAGAGGTAGGTTTCATCAGGTTCTGACCAGTTCTGGAGAACCGGTAGCGGAAATTTTGAGTAGTTCGGAGAACCGGTAGTAAAAATTCTGACTGGCTCCACCCCCATCTATTCTCTGCCTCCTGAGTCCCAGCTGATTGGGAGGAAATGGGGATTTTGCAGTAACCTTCCCCTGGAGTGGGGAGGGAATGGAGATTTTACAGTATCCTTCCCCTGGAGTGGGGTGGGAATGGAGATTTTATAGTATCCTTCCCCTGCCATGACCACCAAGCCACGCCCACCAAGCCATGCCACGCCCACCAAGCCACTCCCACAGAACCGGTAGTAAAAAAATTTGAAACCCACCACTGGTATTAGGCCATGCTCTAGCTCTCAAGCTAGTAGTATTGTCCTTATGCATTGAGGTATCACAGCATTTTGTATACAGCATAACCCCCTCCCTCCCAAAAGAAATGTTAACAAGCAAGAAAAGTAGGGAGGAGAAGAAAGTCAGAGAATACCTGTTGTGAAATGTTTCTGTGTAGAAATAATTAAGGGCCACATTCACTTTGGAAGTAAACGCCAGGCATGCAATAATCCAGCCAAACTGCTATTGGTCGAGGAGGAACATTCAGAAATTAAACAACAGCAGCAGCAGCAGCAGCAATTACTTTATACAAGATAGTTTTCATCACATGCGGCAGAAAGCTATTTCAGCTTTTTAATCTGTCTCTTTGTGATAGGCTCAATCTAAGCTTAACCTGGTAGTATAATGAATAGGTGAGCTGTATTGGTAAAATGCATTGTATTGCAAAGAAGAAAATGTTAGACTTTTTTTCATGTGGTACTTCTATCGACTGTTTTTTTTTAAGTAGACCATCCAAAAGTTATACGTACAACTTGCAATCTGGGTTTCTATAATTATGTTATAAATGCTATTTATCCATGTTGTTCTCTTCAGTGTTTCCTTCAATATAAATACCAGTGCAACTCACAACAATAAAAAGAAAACAGAATACTTATCACAACAGAAATAATGCAAACAATGAAAGGCTAAAACGGCAGCGGTTTATTGCTTCATATATAAAATATAAACTCTAGCAAATTCCATAAATTCATAAATCTGTCTTATCTGATCTGTCCCTACATCAAATAGTGCTTTAAAGATAATATTTATTGTAGTCAAGGACATAGTAATAGATGCTTTGTCAGCATGGTTTTTAAATACTATTTGGGAAATTACAAGGTAATTGTTGGTGAATATATAAATTGAAACATACGTCAGTATTGGTGGTTGGTGAATATGTAAACTGGAACATACGTCAATATATAAGCCAGATGATTCAGGAAAATAGCTTATTTATACCTCCCTTTATATGAAGAAGTAAATATGACATTATTCTTGTTATTTTTGAATTATTTATATACCACTGTTTGATAGAGTATGGAATATGAACCAGTTTTATTTGTTTTAATTTTTTGTTTTTTTGTAGAATATCACATATCATAAGTATATTTAATGACAATAAAACTGTTATATAATTAAGTACAATGGGTCATTAGAATAGCGGTCATTGAAAGCCTATAGGTAGTCCTCAACTAATGACCATAATTGACGCTGAAATTAAGGTTGTAAATTGTGCCAGTCATAAGTAACCATGCCTGATTTTACAACCTTTTTTGTGGTGGTTGTTAAGCAAACACAGCACTTATAAAACAAACATGGAGGTTATAATGCAAATACCATGGTTATTAAGTGAAATTGTTCTCTGCAATAGGCATTTTGTTTGCCAGAAACTGGAAGGAAATGCCAGTTTCTGACAAAATCTTGTAAATTACAGTCACATAACAATTCTGGAATGTGCAGAGATGGATAGGTTAATCCTAAAAATTAAAGGAAAAAAAGATTCAGACTATTTCATAACATGAAACCATTCTATAAATGGTTAAATGACAGATATTGAAGTTAGAGGAGTGGAATTAGGTGAAATATGGTTTATAGGAGAAAGAAAAACAGATGAGTAAATATTTGTGACGGTTATATAATCAATACTATAATGGAAAATAATATATGTTATAATATGATTGATGTTATTGCATATTTGTTTATATATTACCGCATATTTGGTTTTGTATGTATTTTTCTTCAACCGGGTATTTTCCTATGTAAACCAAGTTTCTCAAATTGCAGCCATAGCTCAGTGAAATCACATCCACTATCCTAGGCTTCTTCAGA